GGTATCAGTGGGAGGAATAGTGCCCCATCATTGGTATCAGTGGGGGGAATAGGTGCCCCATCATTGGTATCAGTGGCAGGAATGGTGCCCCATCATTGGCATCAGTGGGAGGAATAGTGCCCCATCATTGGTATCAGTGGGGGGAATAGGTGCCCAATCATTGGTATCAGTGGCAGGAATAGTGCCCCATCATTGGTATCAGTGGCAGGAATAGTGCCCCATCATTGGTGTCAGTGGGAGGAATGGTGTCCCATCATTGGTGTCAGTGAGGGGTGGAATAGTGCCCCATCATTGGTGTCAGTGGGGGGAGGAATAGTGCCCCATCGTTGGTGTCAGTGGGGGGGGGAATAGTGCCCCATCGTTGGTGTCAGTGGGGGGGAGGAATAGTGCCCCATCGTTGGTGTCAGTGGGAGGAATAGTGCCCCATCGTTGGTATCAGTGGGAGGAATAGTGCCCCATCATTGGTATCAGTGACACCAATGATGGGGCACTATTCCTCCCACTGAGACTTGCTGACCCTGTTCTCATATGGTGCTGCTGCAGCCAGCATATGTGGTTGCAGCAGCACCTCTACACAGAGCACTTACCTGCTGCTCCGGCACTCAATTTTCGCGGGGCCGCTCGGCTCCGCCCCCTCGCCGGTGATTGGCCGCCTGTGTGCCTTTCCTGAGCTACAGTTCTGGCGGCCAATCACCGGTGAGGAGGCGGAGCCGCGCAGCCGCACGAACATCCAGTGGCCGAACTGAAGGAGACGCCGCGCTTCCTGGACCGGATCGTCGTGGGACTGGATCCAGGTAAGAGACGTCAGCCCCTGCAAACCCCTGTACTTAATGCCGCAGCCCCCCTAACATGTGTACCGGCGTATAAGACGACCCCCGACTTTTGAGAAGATTTTCAAGGGTCAAAAAGTCGTCTTATACGCCGGCAAATACGGTAGTGACAATGCTCACAGAAACCACCAATTATTAAAGGGAGTTCCGCATACTTACTGCTCTAACAGTAAAAAAAAAAAACCCTCTACACACCATTTAAGGTTGAACCATTTCTCATCCAACCTCACTGAGTGGCCATGTGTCTTCTTGAGTGACTTGAGACCGAATAGTTTCCTCCTGATGTTGGAATGACCATTAGGATATTCGAAGATTGCCCCTCATATCCCCTCTTAAGCTTATCTTTTCCAAAAATAATAAATGCAATGTTTGTAATTGTTTGACCAGCCCCTTTATTAGTTTTGCTGCCTTTCTCTGAACTCTTTCCAGTTCCAGCACATCCTTCATGAGGACTGTTGACCAGAACTGGACAGCAAACTAAAAACGCAGCCGGACCAGAGTTTGTAAAGTGGTAGAATTATAGTTTTATCTCTTGAATAAATACCCTTTTTTAATACATGCTAATATTTTACTGGCCTTGCTTGCTACAGCTTGGCACTGCATGCTATTGCTGAGTCTGCCATCAACTAGGACCCCCAGATCTTTTTCCTTGATTCCCTCAGAGGTTCTCCCCCTAGTGTGTAGCGTGCATTCGTATTTTTACCTCCCAAGTGCATTATTTTACTTTTACCTACATTGAACCTTCTTTGCCCACCCCTGTATTTTATCAAGGTCTTCCTGTAAAGTTGCTGTATCCTGTTCTAAAGCTATTGCCCTGCCTAGCTTAGTATCATCAGCAAACACTGAGATTGAACTATTTATCCCAATCTCTATTTCATTTATACACCCTGTTCCAAATTATTATGCAAATTCTATTTAAGTGTCACAAAGATTATATATTTTGTTTTTCAGTTTAACTCATGGATGGCATTGTGTCTCAGGGCTCTTTTGATCACTGAAAACAATCTCGGACACCTGTGATAATTAGATTGGCAGGTGAGCCCAATTTAAGGTAAAACTACTAAAGGAGGGTGTTCCACATTATTAAGCAGAGCACCATTTTCAAGCAATATGGGGAAGAAAAAGGATCTCTCTGCTGCCAAAAAGAGTGAAATAGTTCAATACCTTGGACGAGGTATGAAAACATTAGATATTTCACGAAAACTTAAGCGTGATCATCGCACTATTAAGAGATTTGTGGCTGATTCAGAACACAGACGGGTTCATGCAGATAAAGGCACATTGAGGAAGATTTCTGCCAGATCCATGCATCGGATCAAGAGAGCAGCTGCTAAAATACCATTACATAGCAGCAAACACATATTTGAAGCTGCTGGTGCCTCTGGAGTCCCACGGACATCAAGGTGTAGAGTCCTCCAGAGTCTTGCAACTGTGCAAAAACCTTCTATTTGGCCACCACTAACCAATGCTCACAAGCAGAAACGGCTGCATTGGGCAGAAAAATACATGAAGACTAATTTTCAAACAGTCCTGTTCACTGATGAGTGCCGTGCAACCCTGGATGGTCCAGATGGATGGAGTAGTGGATGGTTGGTGGACGGCCACCCTGTTCCAACAAGGCTGCGACGTCAGCAAGGCGGTGGTGGAGTCATGTTTTGGGCCGGAATCATGGGAACAGAGCTGGTCATCCCCTTTAGGGTCCCCGAAGGTGTAAAGATGACCTCTGCAAAGTATTTGGAGTTTATGACTGACCACTTTCTTCCCTGGTACAAAAGGAAGAACTATGCTTTCCGTAATAAAATCATCTTCATGCATGACAATGCACCATCTCATGCTGCAAAGAATACCTCCGTATCAATGGCTGCTATGGGGATAAAAAGGAGAGAAAGTCATGGTGTGGCCTCCATACTCCCCTGACCTCAATCCTATTGAGAACTTTTGGAGCATCCTCAAGCAAAAGATCTATGAGGGTGGGAGGCAGTTTACATCCAAACTGCAGCTCTGGGAGGCTATTCTGACATCTTGCAAACAAATTCAACCAGAAACTGTCCAAAAACTCACAAGTTCAATGGATGCAAGACTTGTGAAGCTGCTATCAAATAAGGGGTCCTATGTTAAAATGTAACGTGGCCTGTTAAAATGTTTAAAAAGTTAAAATGTTGTTAAAAGTTTGATTGAAATAGTGTTTTGAAACTTACTGTGCGTAATAATTTGGAACAGTGCATTGTAAGTTTTTTATGTTTAAAAAAAAAAAAAACTGTTATCATTAGGAGGTTTGTTCAATAAAATTTTAATTGTACTCTTAATAGTTGATAACATGAGAATTATGCTGACTGTTATTTACATCAGTTATTTAGGTAAATGAGAAAAATATCATTTGCATAATAATTTGGAACAGGGTGTAAACAAGTTAAACAGGATTGGTTCAGGACAGAGCCCTGGGGTACTGCACTTATAACTCCAGACCATTCTAAGGAAACATTATTTATCACCAACCTCTGGACCCCTGTAGCCAGTTTTCTATCCAGGAACATATACTATTGTCAACACCAATAGACTTCAACTTGTGGATTAAGCGTTTATGGGGGACAGTGTCAAATGCTTTGGCAAAGTCTAGATCCACTACATCCACCAGCCTTTTCTTTACCCAGATTAAAGTTCACTTCCTCATAGAATGTTAAAAGGCTGGTTACTACTAATGATATTATTCTTGTCAGAAAATTCTTGGATACGGTCGCTTATCATTCCCTCCAATAGTTTACAAATTATTGATGATAGGCTGACTGGCCTGTAGTTTCCAGGTACATATCTCGGCCTATTCTTGAATATTGGTTACACATTAGCTTTTTGCCATTCTGCTGGGACCATTCCGGTCACTAAGCTTTCCTTAAAGATTAGAAACAGCGTTCTAGCAATGACCTGGCTGACTTCTTTGAGGACTCTCGGGTGTAAGCCATCTGGTCCTGGAGATTTGTTCACATTAAGTTTTTCCAATCATTTTAGAACACTGTCTTCTGTTAGCCACAAGGGTACACTCCCTGCTGTGTTGCTAATAATACCGTCTTGTCTATTGTACGCCTCCTTTTTCGTAGTAAACACTTAGGAGAAGAATGTATTTAATATAGTTGCCTTCTCCTTGTCACTTGTAACCAACTTCCCTTGATTATCTTTTATGGAGGCAATATGTTCTGACTTTTCTGTCTTACGATTATATTTAAAAAATGGGGGGGGGTTCTTTTTACTCACCTCTGCTATGTGTTTATCATGGTCTATTTTTGCAGCTCTGATTGTTCTCTTACATGTCTTACTGCATTCTTTGTAATGTTGGAATGCTGACCATGCCCCCTCTGACACAGTTTTTAAAGGACAATTTTTTCTCTTTAATGTGCCTTTTTACACTTGAATTTGGCCACCCAGGTTCAGTCTTCGTGCTTTTATATTTGTTGCCTATTGGAATACACTGGCTATTGTCATTAATTAAAATGTTCTTAAAGCACTCCCACTTTTCTCTGTGTTTTTTGTTTCTAGAATAGTTTCCCATTTAATGTCATGCAGTACACAGCATAATTTGGTAAATTTTGCTCTCTAGAAATTTATTGTGCTTGCCCTGCCCTGGTGTTTGCTTTTCCTGTGCCTTACAGTGAATGTAAGTGCCCTGTGATCACTGTTTCCTAGGATATCCCCCATTTCCACATCCGCTATCAGATCTGGGTTGTTTGTGATTAGTAATTAGAGCAGAGCCTTGTTTCTTGTTGGGGTAACCACCAATTGACACAGAAATACATTTAAGAAGTGTCTCAACACTGAAAAACAACAGACTTACTGGGTGGATCACCAGATAAAAGGAAAGGAAAGAAAGCCTTAAAGAGAATGCAGCCATCACATCTAAGATTTAGTAACCTACAATATAAAATACTTTTGCATTTGAGTTTGATACCACTTTAAGAGAAAAAAGCACCCTACATTTTCCTAACCCATACTCGATAAGGCAAAAAAACTCTTAACAAAACATAGCCAAATTTATACTTTGTCCAAATTAACAGGCAATGAGGAGGCATCAGGAGAGTTACGTTTTCCCTATACTCACAAGAACTGGATTTTTCTCTGAGATGAGCTGATAGTTCAGGAGGTGAGTGAAACATAAGAAAAAATTTCTGACACTCTGTCAAGTCAGTATATGGGCAAAGTACTGCTGTTGTTACTGTCACTTACGTTAAACATTTTAACATCCTGACGTTGTCTTATTTCTTCAACAAGTGGAAGTGGTTTTCCTTTTGGTATTGGAATTGTTCCAAACACTACAACATTTGCAGAATCCAAAACTTTATGGACAATTGAAATAAATTTCTGACTAAAAAGCTCCATTTTTCCAATCTCGTCTATGACACAAACAGATTTTTGTGCCAGATTTCCAGTTTTCAGCTGTTGGCAAAACAAAGCTGTTATTATTAAAAGTAAAAAATAATCACCTACATGAAGCCAGACTCCTCATAGCTAAAGGTAGTTTATAATGCACATTACTGTATGCGATTATTCATGTTTTAATATGAATTTTTGTGTACAGCAAAAAGCATAAAACCGTTTAAGCCACAGGTAAAAGAAAGCCACTGTCTTCTTAGATGTAATCTGTTGGGCTTTGAAACTACAAAAATATATTTCTCAATACAAAACTTTCAAATATTTTCCCATACAAAACTAGCCAGTAAAGGGGTCATTAGGAGCCCTTATCGGTTCACAACAGTATATTATTACTTGTTAGTCACAAGTACAGAAATGACCATGGTTATAGTACTTTCTATAATACTTAAAGTAATTTCCATCTTCTGGCTGCATACACAGTTACATACAGTAATTAGGTTGAAGAAAGACACAAGTCCATCTAGTTCAACCAACACACATACAAAAATAAAAATAAAATAAAAATACCTAAATACAGAATCTCCATATACAGAATACTATACCTTTTTACTATGCCCATGCCTGATTCAGAGCTAGGCAAACAAATCCTGTTTTTTTTTTTTTTTTTTGCCTCAGTGGGGGAAAAATAAATTCCTTTTTAAAACCACGGAAGGTAAGTGGATATTCCCTGGATCAACAATCTCAGGTATTGTTACCTATAAGGTTCCACTCGCACTTTCAAATGTGGCTGTTAGCAATTAGATGCAGGAGACAGTGGGGGTTCTCAGCAATCAGCTGCGAGCAGAAGCCTTAGTGAATGCAATGGGAGGTTGACAGCTCCCACAGGTATTCATGACTGCTTGCGAGTAATCGCTCGTAAAACAATTACCTGCAAACGATCGATCCTGGATGCAGTCTCCATGAGTGATTACAGCTGTGAATAACTGCAGGAGCTGTCAGCTTCCCGTTGTTTTCAATGGGGCTTCTGCTCATAGCTAGTCACCGAGAACACCCGCTGGGTCTCCCACTAACAGCCACATTTAAACGTGTGAATGGGGGAGTAAAAACCCAGCAAGCCAATGCAAATACTAGTACAATAAAGAAATATATGCCATTGCAAGGCATGGAGAAACCACAGGAAGGAAGTAGGAAATATGACGGTGAGCAGTCTAGATGATCAAGGGAAGGGAATAAGATCACCGAATTTATAATTGTCGAAAATGTAAATCGATCAAAAAGTTTTGGAAAAACAGAGAACAATATCACAGATTCCTACAAGAACAGAGATGGCGGAAATGTTCGCAAAGTTAAGAGTTTTCCATGAAAAATGAAATGGCGATATTTCATAAGGATCTGGGATTAATGTTAACAAGGGTAGAAGAAGTAGAGGACAAAACAGAGATAAAAGCCCAGCAGATCATTAATCTGGAGAAGCAGTTAGAGGAGATGAGAAGGGAACAGAGGAAGCTCTCTTTTAAACTGGAGGATCAAGAGAACAGAGAGAGAAGAAATAATCTAAGGGTTACCATAAGTTACCAGAAGATTTGCATGAGGAGGACCTTAGGGAAAAAATAAGGAGTGTGTTTAACCCAATAATTGACAGGTCAGTCTTAGATCCTTTGAAAATTGAGAGAATACACAGGCTAAGACGACCGCCAGGATTAGCATCAGACATCTCTAGAGACGTGATTGTTTGTTTTCACCATTATGAGGATAGGGAGAGAATATGGAAAAACTTGCAGGAGAACCCTGGAATAATATTCGGAGAATCAAACGTGCAGGTTTTTGCGGACATTGCATCTGAGACATTAGTGAGAAGAAGATTGTTGAAACCTTTATTGGATCAGATGAGGGAGAAAATACTGCGATACAACTGGGGGTTCCTGGCATGCCTGATTGGATGGATGGATGACTTTTGTGAAAAACTGGAACTGTAGAATGTGGACATTGAGGGATGGTCAGAGGGGCTAAACAAAAGTGTAAGGTTGAGAAAAGAGAAGTGAAGCCAGTTTATAAAAAGAAAAAAATAGATGGAGTTTGGAATGGGGGGAGATGGATGACGGAGAGATGTTGGGGTGAGTGGAGAGAAGGGGGGGGCGGTAAACTTTCTCCCACCCCCCATCAACTCCCCCCTCTTCCTTCTTTTTTTTTTTTTTCTCTCTGTCTCCTGCCTCTCCTCCTCTCTTCTCCCTCTTTTAGTACTCTTAGTGAGTTGCTGAGGAAGTTGTAAAATAGAGAGGGCAGTGTGTCAGGAGGATAAATAGGTGAATAGCTTTCAACCCTATGTTGAGAACTGGGGGTAAGATCAGGTGCACATGTTTAAAGTTGTACCCCAGAATAGGAATCATTAGTGGGGGAATCTCATGCCAGATTCCAGGGCAATGTGTAGGCCAGGGGTTTTTCAGGAGTAGGTTAGGGTAGGGAGGGGGAGGGAGGGGGAGGGAGAAGTGGTGGAGGGAAGGGGAGGCAGGACAGATGAGGTAGAGGGAAGGTTGAGCTGTACATATCTCTCTTCCTTTGAACAGAAATGTAGAATGATAAAAAAAACATCAAATGGCTATGAGTAGGATTAATCCCATGACCTATAATGTGAACGGTTTAAATTCTCCCACTAAAAGGCATAAGATATATCCACCAACATTCTATAGATCTAGTGTTCTTACAGAGACACATTTCGCATACGAATCTAATGTTAAGTTATACTCAAGGCATTACCCAACCTGGTACTATGCAGACTCACCAATAAGGAAGGCTAAGGGAGTAGCGATTGGGTTTTCAAGGTGGGTAGGCTTTGCTGTGGAGATGGAATTGGTAGACCCAGAAGGCCAGTTTTTGTGTGTAAGAGGAAAAATGCAGGAACAAAATTATACATTGGTCAACATCCATTGTCCGAATCAAAATCCAGAGGTGTTTTTGCAGGCAGAGGTGGGAAAATGTATGGACTTTAAGAAGGGTAGTCTGATTCTGGCATGAGATTTTAATTTATGTTTGGATCAATGGATGGATACGTCTTCAAATGCGCCGAGAGGAGGGGGAAAGAAATTAAGATTGTTAAAAAAGATGTTACATCAAAGTCAATTAATAGATATATGGAGGGTGAAAAGATCCCAGAGAAAGATTATACCTTCTTCTCTCTAGCACATAGATCGTATACACGTTTAGATTATATAATCATCGAGCATAAACAACTGGATTTAATAGTTAAATCTGATATAGAAGTTATGTGTATCTTAGATCATGCACCTGTTACAGTGAGACTACAGGTAGGAGGGGAGGGGAATAAGAGGGCTATGTGGAAACTAAACGAGACGCTTATACAGGACCCCGAGATAGAGAAAAAGCTAAGGGATGAATTAGAGCAATTTTTTCTTCTAAATGAGACGAAAGGAGTCTCTATGGCTACTATTTGGGAGGCACATAAGGCTTACATCAAGGGGATCTTGACCTGTTGGAACAGGAGACGAGGAGGATATTTAATAGGTTCTCCAAGGAAAGATACCAGTGGGGGAATAAACCAGGAAAACATCTGATGAAAAAACTGAAAGAAAAGAATTTGATGAATTATATTGAAAAAATAAAAGGATGAAAAAGGAGAACTGATATACTCCACCACTGATATTATGAAAATATTCCAAAAATACTATAGCAGGTTGCATCATGTGAACCCCAAGCACCAGATGGTAACAGAGGAAGTAAAGAAAGGGAAAAGGTGGGAATATCTACCGGCAGCAGATCTGTCAAAAATACCACAGGAAAAGTTAATATCATTAGAATGAGCAATCTCCCAGGATGAAATAAGTATAGCCCTGAAGAATACCGCGGGAGGAAAGAGTCCAGGACCTGATGGGTATACGGTGGGGTATTATAAGAAGTTTAAAGACTTACTGACCCCTAAACTTTGTATATATAAGAATGCCCTAGGAAAAGGAATGGGAACAAGAGAAGAATCCCTACAAGCATACATAACAATCATTCTTAAAGAGGGGAAGGATGGCTCACAATGCGCTAGTTATAGACCTATAGCGTTATTAAATGCGTTATTAAATGCAGATACAAAAAGTATTAGCTACCAGATTGAAGGAGTTGATGCCGGAATAGATACATTTAGATTAGGTGGGTTTTGTCCCAGGCAGAGGAGGAAGGGATAATGGTTTAAGAACATTGCTCCTCTTACAAAAAGTAAGGAGAGAAAAACTGCCAACAAAATCGACAGCGATTGACACTGATAAAGCGTTCGACATGGTGGACTGGGGATTCATGATAAACACGCTGGAGGCTTTAGGAATAGGGACCAGGATGATGAAGTGGATAAGGGAGCTTTATGATTGCCCATCAGCAGCGGTTAAGATAAATGGATCCCTCTCAGGATTTTTTAAAATGTAAAATGGCACTAGACAGGGATGCCCATTATCCCCGTTGTTATTTGTTATATCCCTAGAACCCCTGTTGGTGACAGTAAGAAAGAGTGTAGATGTCAGAGCAATTAATATAGGAGAAGTAGATCATAAAGTAGCAGCGTACGCAGATGAAATGCTGTTTTATATGGTGAACCCCAGATTAACGCTACCAAACCTAATGGGATTACTAAAACAATATAGTGAGCTCTCAAACTTGAAAAAAACCCCCACAAAATCAGAGATCTAGAATGTGAATATTTCAGAGAAAGAAAAGCAGACCCTCAAAAGGACTTTCCATTTACATGGAGGGAGAAGGAATTAGGTTATCTGGGAATAAAGATAACCCCCTCAATAAAAAATATATACCAAGCAAATTATATGCCATTATTAAATGAAATAAAAGAAGAGCTGAGAAAAATTTCAAGGGTAGGGTTTCCTGGATCGGGAGTAAAAATTTGGTTAAGATGTTGATAGTCCCTAAAATTCTGTATAAATTTCATATGCTCCCAGTTTATATACCAGGATCCTTTTTTGGGATAATAAAAAAAATGAATACTTAAATATATATGGGCTAATAAAAAGCCGAGAATTAAATATGAAGTTTTGTGTAATATTAAAGGGAAAGGGGGATTAAATTTGCCCAATATTACGGTTTATTACTGCGGTGATGCTGTCACGAGTAGTAGATTGAACATATAATTCACGGGAGAAAAGCTGGGTTAAAATGGAAGGTATTTTAAGTAATACACATCTTGAGAAGATTATTTGGATACCACGAAAGTTTCGCACTATGAATGAAATTAGCAGCATGTTGACACGGGAGGTTTTGAGAGTGTGAGATGGAATATACAAGAATACGGGATGGAAGTATAATTCTTTATTGATTCCTTTGGTGGGGATGGAGTTATTTACACCAGGGAATGACAATAAATCAGGGAAATGGCTTAAAAATGAGGATGCACGTTTAGGGGATATAGAAATAAGGGGGAGTTGTACACGTTTCAAGATTTAAAAAGAAAAAAAGATTTGTTGTATTAGATTAATTGAAATATGATCAATTAAGACATTTTGTTTCAAAGCTTCCCCAGCCGCTGAGGATGACAGAGGATATGCTACCATTTGGGAAAATGCTGAGCTCTGAAAGAGCACCAAAGCATATTACTTCCAAGATATATAAGATCCTTATTGAACTGAAGGGAGCGGGTCCTCCATTGTTCTTAGAGAAATGGCAAAGGGAGCTGGGAACGAAAATAAGTGAAGAGCAGAAAAATAAATTGTTTAAATTGAAACATGGGGAAATGAATATGAGCACGGTTGAAATGAATTACAATTGTTTAACCAGATGGTATTTTACACACATATGTGGCACATAGACAGCGAGCGGAGGTTTCACAGTTGTGTTGGAGAGAATGTGGACTAAAGGGAACTATGGCACATATATGGTGGGATTGTCCCAAAATACAGATGTTTTGGCAAGATATAATACAAGTCATACAAGATATACTGGGGATCACTATGCAGAAAGAACCGATGTTTATTTTATAAGTCAGAAATACCAGTGAAACAATACAAAAATAGTATATTATATCATTTACTTAGTATAGCCAAGGGACTTATTCCCAAATTTGGCAGGTGCAGGAACCCCCAACATTGCGGGACTGGATTGATAGAGTCGATCCCATAAATAAGATGGAAGAGCTATGCCATATAGATGAAGATAAAATGGAAACGTTTAGAAAGGAATGGAGTAGCTGGTATGATTTTAAGACATCGAAAAAATACCTGGAAGTAGTGGGAGCCCCAGACGGACTGATGTAGGAGAATTAAACTGAGTGACTAAGAAATAAATAGGAGGAGAGGAGTAAAGAAAAAAGATACAGATATGGATAGGAATTGATGTAGAGAGTTGGATAGACTCATATGGACTGGGGAAAAATGGTGGTGGGGAGGGGGGATGGAGGAGGGTGGGTTTGGTGAGGAAACAGGGGAATGGTTTGTATTTCCCATTTGATAACTATAACAGTATGTTGTTTTACGCTTTGGGAAAAAAAGGAAAATAAAAAGAACACACTTGGAAAAAAAAAAAATCACGTGAAGATTTTAAGACCCTATCCTGTACAAGAGATAATACAGTGTAGAAAAAGGATTGACTTTTTTATTTTTAAAGCCCTTTTAAGAGAGTGGCAACCGCAAACAGCTCTACCTTACAATCCCTTTTCAGGAAAACAATATATTTCTGTGCAACTTCAATGAAAACAAGACAACTTACCATGCAGTCCAATATAGGAAGTGCCAAATGCTCGAATGAACTAATATCCACAACATACTGCCCGACTCTGTATTCACGTTTTCCTTCAGACTGATTAGTTCTAAAATGGAAAGAGAATTTCCTGCTGAAACTATTCTCAGAAAGGTAACACAATACAGTTTAAAGTGTAACTATACACAAAATTAAAAATAACGCCCATGTAGTCCTTCAATATAAATACAAATAAATGCAATATAAAAGTCATGTTTCTTCTAAAGAAAAAAAAAAATAGCTGGTAATCTTGCCAGGCCTGAGGTCTCCAGGAGCAGGACCTGCAGTAAATTCACTGCAGTGCTGTCACCCTCTGCAGCTGCACAGAGCTTCATCAGTATGCATTCTGAAGAAGAGAGTTGTGACACTGATGTTCCTCTCTCTCACTGCCAACTGGTGCACTGGGCCACTTGGATCCTTCCTCCCAGATCTGGTTGGCTGAAGACTTCTGTGGCCCAATGATTATGTCACAGGGGCAAGGAAGCAGATCTCATGCCACCTAAACGACATATTTAAATATTATAGGAATATGTAAGGAAAAGGGCCTGCAATGACAGCCAGGCAACTAACATTTTTAAAGGAGAGGTTAGCAAGTGGCAGCCTCCATATTTGCTTGTAAAAAAAATAATTTTGACTTACTTGTAAATTCCATATTTTGGAGTACAATACAGGGCACAGGAAAAGTATTCATAGACCCTGGGTTATAGGCACATACCTTTCGGTGATTGGAAACTTGCAAATTTTCCTATAAACACTGGGAGCCTCCCCTATAACCCAACCCAATCTGTTGAGTCCTCAGTTTTGTAGCAAGCAATGTAGAGTAACCAAAGAATGGAAAGGAAGGTAGTCTGCATCCTGTACTGTACTCCAATTCACAGGTACAGGTGTACCTCAGTTTACGAATTGCATTCTGCAGGACTTTTCGTATTGCGAAAAATTCGTAAACCGAAATGCGGTTTCCCATAGGAATGCATAGAAAACCAATTAATCCATTCCGGAGGTCAGAAAAAAGTAAAAAAAAAGTCTTATCTGTTCAAAACTCTTTATAAAGTGCACTTTAAAGGCATAGTACTGTACAGGGACATGATTAAAAAAAATGTGTAAATGCTTTGAAAACCAATTAATCTGTTCGTATTGTGAAAAAAATTTGTAAACCGAGGCATTATTTCAATGGATTTTCATTCAACCGAGGTACGCCTATAAGTCAAAGTGCCTATTTTCTTAACTACTTGCCAATTGTAGATAGCTGAACGCCGGCTACACTTCGCCGGCCAGTTCTGGAAGGGCGTCATATGACGTCCTCCCAGAACGTGCTCTCCTGCGTGCCCCCGGGGGCGCGCACCTGGGCGATCTCCGTGTCCTTTTACCACACGGACACAGCTGATCACGTGATGTGGTAAAAAGCCAATCACAGCGGCCTTTTACCACGTGATCAGCCGTGTCCAATGACACGCTGATCACCGGGAAATGCAATTGCCGGTTCTCGGCTGCACTTTCCTCACGCTGTCAGAGCGTGAGGAAAGTACTGCTGAGAACCGGCAGATGTCAGAGCAGGGATCGGCACCGATCATCAGGGCACTGCCCAGCAGTGCAACCCGCCAGTTCCGTCCCACCTGTGTCCAACAGTGCGCCCACCTGTGCCCAGCAGTGAACCCTCCTGTGCCCAGCAGTGCACCCACCTGTGCCACCCAGAAGTGCCACCTACCTGTGCCCAGCAGTGCCACCCACCTGTGCCACCCACCTGTGCCCACCCCACCAGTGCCACCAGTCAGTGCCCAGAAGTTGCGCCAGTCAGTGCCCAGCAGTGATGCCAGTCAGTGCCACCTATCAGTGACACCTCATTAGTGCTGCCTATCAGTGTCGCCTATCCGTGCCACCTCATTAGTGCCGCCTATCAGTGCCGCCTATCAGTGCCCATCAGTGCCGCCTATCAGTGTCCATCAGTGCCGCCTATCAGTGCCCATCAGTGCCGCCTCATCAACGCACATCAGTGAAAGAGAAAAATTACCTGTTTGAAAAATTTTATAATAGAAACAAACTTTTTTTGTTTATAGCGCAAAAACTGTCCAGCGGTGATTAAATACCACCAAAAGAAAGCTCTATTTGTGAGAAAAAAATGATAAAAATTTCATATGGGTATAATCTTGCATGACCGCGCAATTGTCAAAGTGCGACAGCGCTGAAAGCTGAAAATTGGCCTGGTAAAGAAGGGGGTATAAGTGCCCAGTAGGCAAGTGGTTAATCGTATAGTACATGACACAGGCAAAGTATTCATAGACCTTAGTACATTCCCAAGCGATGAATGAAAAGGGTGGGCAACAACCATTCAAACAGAACTGGCCAACAGGCCCAACAACAAGAAGATTCAACTTCAGAGTTCTGCACAAGAACCTTGTGGCCTAAAGCATCTTCACTGAAGAAGGAACATCCACCTGGTAGAACATGAAAGAGGCCAGGTGTTTTACAAAGCTTGTACAAGAAAGCCCAGGAAAACTGCCACCGGCATGTAAAGAAACAGGAATGGATTTGTTCTTGAGAGTCTAGCAATCAGTATTTTTATCCACTGAGCGATGGTGGATTTGAAAACAGGGTGTCCTGCGAGTGAGGACAAGTGGGGATGGAGTTTTTACTGATCAAAGTTGTTGCCTTTGAGGTAAACTCTGATATTTGACTTGGCTCTTCAGCATCTTGCTTTATGCTTAAACTTCCACTGTTCCTGATGATACTGCCATTTCTTAATTACATTCCGAACAAGGAAAGATTGGAATGGCATCAACGCCAGATTAGACATTCTTATCTTCTTAAAACAGCTGTGACCCTGAACTATCTTTACAGCCCCCTTTAAGTATCACAGCTTGTAAACGCTTTTTGAAGGCCAAGAGTCATTCAATTCTTGTTTGAGGTATCTTTGCCCATTCTTCCTTTCTTCCATTCTTTGGATTTCTGGAGTGTCTGTCAACTAAATGTTTTCAGATTTTCAGTTGAGTTTCTAGGGCAAAACCTTCTGCTTGAAAAGAGACTGACATCATCCATTTGGTCTTCCTGATTGTTTGGAGTTACAATCCATGAAACTGGCAAGGTCAGACTCGTGATGTTCTGTGGCACTTTAAAATAAAGCATGATTTCTGACAGATTCTGTGACTTGCAAACGTACCTTTGCTCATTCTTTTGAATTTTAAACCTCATCCGGTCCACAGAACTTTGTTTCAAAATGATCAGGCAGACGATGATTTTTGTGATTGAGAAAATCACAATCCACTTTCTGTCTGATATTTTTCTTGGTCTTCCAGATCTTGAACTTCCACTGTTCCTGAAGCACTGCCATTTCTTAATAAATTCTGAACATGAGGATATTGACATCTGAAAACGCTTTGCTATCAGATTAGCCATTTTCCAGCTTTTGAGGTTATTTTCAGTTGCAGTTTTTAGACAATTGCTTAGAAGAACCCATGGTGCTGATTGTTGGGGCAAGGTCAGAAGTCTGGGCATTTAAAACCTTTGAGATGACATCACCTGGTCTTCCCAGACGATGATTGAGAACAATCCATGACACTGGCAGGTCTCAGCTTTGCAAAGGGGGGCAGTGCATGCTATAAATTCTGCAGGGTGCCCAAACTTTTGCAGACGCCATTTTTTTGTTTTCTGTTATTTTGAAAGTGTAAATGATGGAAATAAAATCTAACTTTTGTTGACATATTATAAGAATGTCTAATCTGTAATTTGATGCCTTTTGGAGATTTTTCCATCTTTCCTTGGCTTCTTTATGCACATTAATACAAATTTTTAGCTGGGGTGCCCAAACTTTCGATCCCCACTGTAGGAAGAAAGGATGGTCTTGGGTGTAAGACTACCTTGTCATTGTGAAGGATGAGTAATGACTCCATACAAAACAGAACCATCTGCTCAGAGAAACATCTGACAGCAACCAAAAATGCTACTTTGCAGGAGAGGCCATCTAAGGGAATATTCTTAATGGGTTCAGGGAGGTTTCTGCAGAGCGGAGAGAACAAAGGAAGACGTTCGGAGCCAGAGGTCTTTGAAAAAGAATGGAGAAGGCCGAATACTGACCTTTCAGAGTGCTTAAGGACAAATTCTAGTTAAAGAGCTGATTGTATGAAGGCCAGAATGTGAGGCACAGAGTAATCCCTGAGATTTAATTGTTTGTGTTCACACCAGGCAAAAAAAGGATTTCCAAAGTATGACAGTTAATCTTTCTCTAAGTTGTGTTTTTCTTACTTTTAGCAAGGTAGAGATAACTGACTCAGGGACCTCTCTATCGTTAACAACCTGGGTTTCAACAGCCATACTGCTAAAGCTAAAGACTGTGAAGCAGGTGTCAAGGTCCTACCTTTCCTCAGGGCTTGTGCTGCTCCATGTGCTGGCATCCATCTTAGGTGTCTGCAAAGCATTGTGGGATCCTTTATGCTTTCAGCCCTCTGCGGCTCCTCCCCCAGGAGGTGGCGGCTTATCACATATAAGTCTGCTATTAGTAGCTGTCCATTGCATTCGTGTCCTGTCTGTTGCACAGCAGCAAGCTCCTGTTTAGTTTCTCATTGCTCTCCTGGATACCGACTCGGCTTTGCCAAGACTCCTTTCTGGCTTCTGACCCAGTCTCTGGCGACCATCCTTCCTGGCTTCTGACCCCGTCTCTGGCGATCATCCTTCCTGGCTTCTGACCCCAGCTCTGGCGATCATCCTTCCTGGCTTCTGACCCCGGCTCTGGCGACCATCCTTCCTGGCTACTGTTCTACCAAGTCATCCGCTGTTGCTGTTGGACTTGCATAGACTCTGTCTTGTGTGTCTGCACCTCCTTGTGTGTCTGGCTCCTCGCTCCCTGACACTACACGAATGCCATGAATCCTGACTGTGCAGGTACGCCCTCGCTCCCTATGTTGGTTGCCAGACTTGATCAGCAGGATCTCTTGTTGGTTCAGTTCGCTCAGGCGTTCCAGACGCTGCTTGCACGCACGCACAGCGCACCTTACTAGTGAGTTTTCATACCAAGAGATTATCTGGATTGCTTCCTTCAAGGCTGCATGATTCTGGTGCCCCCTTGGTGGTTACTGTAGG